GTACGAATCAATATATAAAATAGTTGCTTAGTACTATATGTAACTATTCTAACGTGTAGGACGGCATTTCTTCTCAGCCGGTTAAGTACTTGAGTTTGCTTTTAGTAACTGCATGCGAGCATTCTTTAACACCGTTACGGTATAATTGGTTATCAATTTTGTGCCTTATTCGGCTTGTTATCTATTATATTGTTATTTTCCTGTACTGGTTTTTGTCTCGCCTGCGACGAAAGTCTATCCACCAAATTTCAAATGAAGTGGATGTAAGCAATTATAGGCAACCGTACGGCATTCAACAATGACAAAAACCCAATCCGTATAGTCGGCTATAAAAGGACCCGACATGAAAAATATGAAACAATTCAATTGAGAAAACTAACAGCCTAATTCATAACAAAACAATTTACGAAAAACAAATATGACAGACATGAACAACAACCACTGAACTAAAGGCTCCTGACTTGGGACAGGCACATAAAGAATGTGCGGCGAGTTTAATAAAATTGAGAATGGAAATGGGGAATGTGTCAAAGGGACAACAACCCGACCATAGAGCAGACAACAGCCGAAGGCCACCAATGGGTCTTCAATGCAGCGAGAAACTCCCGCACCCGGAGGCGCCTTTCAGCTGGCCCCTAAACAAATATGTATACTAGTTCAGTGATAATGGACGTCATACTAAACTCCAAATTATACACAAGAAACTAAAATTAAAAAAGATACAAGACTAACAAAGGCCAGAGGCTCCTGACTTGGGACAGGCGCAAAAATGCGGCGGGGTTAAACATGTTTTTTGAGATCTCAACCCTCCCGCTATACCTCCAGCCAATGTAGAAAAAACAAACGTACAACAGTACGCACAGTAAAACTCAGTTTAAGAAAAGTCCGAGTCCGATGTCAGAATAGGAAACAAAAGAAAATAAACAAAATGACAATAATACATAAATAACAACAGACTACTAGCAGTTACTGACATGCCAGCTCCAGACCTCAATTAAACTGATTGAAAGATTATGTCTTCATCATATGAATATCAGGCACAATCCCTCCTGTTAGGGGTTTAGCATTATACCGTCATAAAATATACGAGAAGAACATAACCCGTGTCATGCCAACAACTGGTTTTAGAATAAATATGTTTAATTCCGATGCAAAGACCCTATAAGTGAATCAATATTAAAGCCAAAATATGCAATCTTTAATGACCTGACAACAGTATCGTAACTATATCCCTTCTTAATAAGTCTGTTTAAAGGTTTTGTTAGCTTTTGAGGTGAATACTGACATTTTTGTGCTTTGTAAAGAATATTACCATAAAAGATTGGATGTGAAATACCCGAACGTATAAGATGTCTGCATGTTGAGTTATATTTACGAATGATGTCCTTAAACATGTTTGTGAGCGTTCAATCCTCCCCTAACCTGGGACAGTGGTGTTACAGAACAACATAAGAACTATAAAAATCAGTTGAAAAGGGATTATCTCATCAGATCGATACAAAGCAGATAACAAAAACACAGATCGGACAACAAAAAAGACACAAAGTACAGATTTGAGAGTATTCGCAGTTACTGACAGTTAGTTCAAAGCCAATAACAACTAATAAAAAAGGTCAAGTATCTAAGATAAAAATATCAATAAGTACACATACAACATCCAATTGATTTAGTGTAAAGACGTCATTAACAGTCAAAGAAAGACATGACCTTGTGCAATGCCAAAATATACATGTATAGGTATCGACAGATTGTCGTACCGTGAAAGTGCATATGTGTGTATAACAATAATAGTTAGTATGGTTTTAATTTACTGATAATAAAATCAATATTTATACCAATAAAAACCTGTTCAAAGATCTAATTACATTGTTGAATTGGTAACCTTTTAGAATAAGTTTATTTAAAGGATAAATCAGTTTACCCGGGTCGTATCTTAACAACATCACCGTAAAATTTAGGATGTGCTATTCCGTTTGAAATAAGTTTCCTACAGGTACAGCCAAACTTGCAAACCAAATCTTTGTATCTATGAAAGAATTTAGTAAAGGTTTTAAGTAATTTGTGGTAACGAAATCCCTGACTTAATAATTTAAAAGGAAAATTAATAATAGGGAAAGAAAATCATTCCTTTTGTCGTAAATTTCTGTGTAGAGTTTCTGGTGTAAAACTGAAATATCTAAATCTAAGTCAATTTGAAAGGAACTACTTGTGATAAATCAATGATATTTTTATACAATTGCATTGCTATCACCAATTACCAGTTTGACGACTATTTCGAGGCTCTGCCCACTTGGTCATGGTCTAGTGACTTTGAATTAATTATCAATTCTCAATGTTAAGTTTTCTGCTTTTTTCTACTTGTGATAGATCAATGATATTTTCTATACAGTTGCATTACTATCGGTACATATTAGTTTGACGACTTTTTCGAGGCCCTGCCCCCTGGGTCATTGTCCCAGTGACTTTGAATTAATTAGCAATATTACTATCGATCAGATTGTCTTTTTCAGGCGATACATATCTCTGTGTCTACAGTTTATTAATGCATGTTCGTATAAGTACGTGTTTAATAATCTACTGATTGATTTAAAAAGGGAACGGTTGAATTTGTTTTTTAAGTTTGATATCTCCATATGATCATTTGCCCGTCCCTCGTCAGTAATTTTCGTATTACATATCTTATAATTTCGTTATTTTGAGATTGGGTGTTAATGGAAGCTTTTATATAGATCCGATAACATGGTGTCAAGATTGGAAACTTCAGGTTAACCGATCGAAAACCAAAATTATACATTAATTATTATTATAAGAATGCGTCCGTGCAGCAATACGTTTCCGTTCTCCTGTGGAAATCAAGACCTTGACTATGCAGATTCGTACAAATATCTGGGACTTTGGTTTGATGAACACTTAACTATGAACAAAGCTGTAAGGGAACTTGCGAAATCGGCTAGTAGAGCTCTTGGTGTCCTATTCGACAAATTCGTAACGGCGGGAGGTATGACTTGGAAAGTTAACCTTAAACTATACACATCGATGGTGGAACCTATTTTATATTATGGCAGTGGTATTTGGATAACAAAATCTTACAATGTGATAAACAATGTTCAGACTAAAGCAGCCAAATATTTCCATGCAGTGGGAAAAGAACTTCTTATACGTCTGTGCGTGGCGACCTAGGACTTACTTCTTGTCATACTTAGCAAAAACTATCATGCATACGATTAAAATGCAAATTCGTCCGAGCAGATGATGATCGGCTGATTTAAAAAATGGCAAATTGGGCATCGCGTGGTAGAAACGACTGGCATTCACAAGTAAACAAATGTATAAACGAACTAGCCGTATCTGGTACGGTCAATAACATTGTCTTGACTGTGTGAAAACAGCAACATGCATTATCAACAACAAGTTACTCAATCTAGATCAAAATTAATTTTTGCAAGATCCGAACAATGATATAAACAAAGCGAATGGCAATATAATTAAGAACGTACCGATTATATAAGACGACGATAGAAACCGCACACTACATTACACGCCAGCTTCCACGAACTGTCAGACGTACAATGGCATTATTTAGGAGCGGGACACTACCGTTAGCTATTGAGACGGGACGATATTCCAGACCGCAGATACCACTAAATGACTAGTAGACTTTGTAAATTTTGTAATACAAACACTGTAGAACACGAAATACATTTTTTTAATTGTTTGTCCTTTATATACAGACATCCGATACGAACTTTTTCAAGCAGCACTAGAACTCATTGATGACTTTGACAGAATGAACACAGAGAATATACGTATTGCGCTTACGAATTGTAAATACATACAAACTTTTCTAGCTCATGCATTGAATAGATTTTTTTCTAAAGAGAGACAAGTTTTAATGAAATTATAATTTGCAAACTATTTATTTATAACCAGTATCATTGTTCTTATATTTATTTTTTTATTTTATATAAAGGTACTGTGATAGTCTCAATTTAATACCCCAAGTTTAAATACTTTTATTTTATTTTTAAAAGATAAATTCAATCGACAATGTTATTTATTTATTTACTTTATCACAATATTGGCATTTTCATAAAGATTTTTACTTTGTCAAAAGTGGATTTTTTTATGTCCTTATTTAAGAAGTGCTTGTAAAAAATTTAATCTAATTATATATATTTTAATGTGTTTTATTGTAAATTTAGTGTCTCGTATGTCTATATCGGCTGTTTTAACTGTTTTGTGTATTGAACATGTATATTTACTTGTAAGATTAATATGTGACACTTTAACAACATAATCATTGTCTTATCTTATCTTTAAGGTAAGTTTCAGTTGCAGATCCAGGATTTTGGAAAAAACGGCGTCCAACGGGAAGGCAACGTCAGGAGTTGGACTAGTAAAATGGTATATGTAGTTCCATAAGGAACTAAATCCGCCAATGAGCTTGGTTAAAATCAAATAAACACAACAAAATTTACGATTTGTAGAAATTAATTATAATATATTATAAAAATCCTACTGACTTATGTTAGTAAGTAATAAGAAATTTAGTTTAAAGTCGGCATTAATGTACACAATAACAATAGACTGATGAAATCTTTAACCGAATATCAAATAAAAATCCTACAGCTTCATGCAATACGAAAAATAAATAAAAGACTAAGCAAAATATTTTGTAAGCATGTCATAGCTGATTTCTGATTTCTAAATCTCCACAGTAAAGATTCTTAAAGCAAACATATCACGACATGTGCACCGACGGAGGGGTCCAGCAATCACAAAAATATCATAGAAATACTAAAAAAAACTTTAAAAAAATATGAAAGTTATTAAGCACTGGCATTTAAGTACAGCTATTCGTAATAATTTAAAAGCAAGGCAATGATGAATTTCTGCTGTTTGTTTGATGACGGAGAAGATCTTTATTTATATCTGATGGTACGTAGCAGGTTGATGTAGAAATTTGGTTTTCGGTCAGATTTCGATATCGGGGCAATCAGTTACGTTTTTATGTAAAAGAAAACTGGATTATATAAGAAATTTAAAGGAGACCAGATAATCCCATAATGAATAAACTTTCAAAAATTAACCGAATTGAATGACTAAATTGGTGACAATTATTACAAGAATCAATGGATCGATTAAGTATAATATCTGGTGCTCTGTTTTTTACAGCTGATGTGTTTGCAGTGGCAAGCTTGGCCATGCCAAGGTGGATTGTTTCAGATATCGGAGGTATAAAAAATGACAACACAAACAAATATTTATAGCATGTCAAATGTTTATATGTTGTGTTTATTAAAAAAAAAAAACATCAGGTACTTTCAGGTGCCTAAATTAATAGACCTTAACGCTATTTGGAAATCTGCGCTGCTTGACCCGAGAAATTATCTGCGCCTGTTGAACTATTGAAGTCATACAACAATCCCTTTTCCATTGTGGCATCAGATAGTTTCTATTATGACGTCAAAATTTTACAGGAACCTTTGTGATGTCCAGTAATGGCGGACAAATAGCGATCTGTATATGCGAGCCAAAATCGTTCCTGTGAAAAAAGTTCCAGTGGAACAAATATCACAGGAAATATATTCTGGGAAACTTAGATTAAGATTGATCGTAAGTCATTAACAATTCAGTATACTTCTTACGATTGATCTTAGTCTTAAGTTTTTTTTGTGAAACCGACTCCAGGGTTGTGAAATTTGTTCCTTACCTGGTAAATAAGTTCTGGGTTTGTCAGATTAGTTCCTTACCTGGTGAAATAAGTTCCTTGTCTGTGAAATATGTTCCACTGGTTATACAAGATATCTTAAATTCTGAGCATTTGTCATCATCTATCTAAAAGTATAAAAAGTACTTATATCTCTTTTTTTTTTAAATTTAAGTTTTCCAAATGTTGAATTTACTTTTCAAATTTCCATTATCAAAGAAACTAATCTTTTGGAACTTTTTATACGACCGCAAAAATTAAAAATGTTTTGGTCGTATATTGGTATGACGTTGGCGTCGTCGTCGTTGTCGTCGTCCGAAGACACATTGGTTTTCGCACTCTAACTTTAGTTTAAGTGAATGGATCTCCATGAAATTTTACCATAAGGTTCAATACCACAAAAGGAAGGTTGGGATTGATTTTGGGGGTTATGGTACCAACAGTTGAGGAATTAGGGGCCAAAAATAAGCATTTTTGTAACTTCCAGACATAACTTGTGTGTTAGTGTATGGATCTCTCTGACATACGACCACAAGGTTCCATATCACAAAGGGAATGCTGGGATTGATTTTGGGGGTAATTGCCGCAAAATTTTAGGAATTAGGGGCCAAAAAAGGGTAAAAAAACAAGCATTTTTCTAGTTTCATGATAATAACTTGTAAGTATATGGATTTTTCTGAAATTAAACTACAAGGTTCCATATCAGAAAGGGAAAGCTGGAATTGAGTTTGGGGGTAATTTCCTCAAAATTTTAGGAATTAGGGGCCAAAAAGGGGCAAAAAACAAGCATTTTTCTAGTTTCAGGACAATAACTTGTGTGTAAGTGTATGGATCTTTATGAAATTGTACTACAAGGTTCAATATCACAAAAGGAAAGCTGGGTTTGAGTTTGGGGGTAATTGCCCTAAACATTTAGGAATTTGGGGCCAAAAAGGGGCCTAAAAACAAGCATTTTTCTAGTTTCCAGACAATAACTTGTGTTCAAGTGTATGGATCTTTATGAAATTGTACTACAAGGTTCCATATCACAAAAGGAAAGCTGGGTTTGAGTTTAGGGGTAATTGCCCTTAACGTTTAGGAATTTGGGGCCAAAAAGGGGCCTAAAAACAAGCATTTTTCTAGTTTCCAGACAATAACTTGTGTTCAAGTGTATGGATCTCTCTGAAATTGTACTGCAAGGTACCATACCACAAAGGGAAGGCTGGGATTGAGTTTGGGGGTAATTGCCTCAAAATTTTAGGAATTAGGGGCAAAAAAGGGGCAAAAAACAAGCATTTTTCTAGTTTCAGGACAATAACTTGTGTGTAAGTGTATGGATCTTTATGAAATTGTACTACAAGGTTCCATATCACAAAGGGAAGGCTGGGATTGAGTTTGGGGGTTTAAAAAATTTAGTGGAGGGATTTTTTTTTTCTTTAAAATTTTCCATTTTAAATTGGTTATTTCTGATTTATATATAAAAGCAAATAATAATGATATGGTTTGAATAGGTAAATTAAAAATTTTTAAGTTCTTAGACCACATTCATTCTGTGTCAGAAACCTATGCTGTGTCAAATATTTAATCACAATCCAAATTCAGTGCTGTATCAAGCTTGAATGTTGTGTCCATACTTGCCCCAACTGTTCAGGGTTCGACCTCTGCGGTCGTATCAAGCTGCGCCCCAGCGGAGCATTTTATTTACTCTTTTATTTATGTAGATACATGTACAGTTATCTACCTTTTGAATAATTATGTCCGCCATATTGTTATGCAAGGAATTGTATACAAGACACACAAATCAAATTTTTGAAGTGAAATTTTACTTTTTTTGAGTATAAATTACTTATATCTCAAAATCATATATTTTAATATCTATAAAAGCAGTATAAAACCCTATAAAATAAAGTTTTCGGTAACATTTATCAGCTCTAGGGTCAATATTCAGTTCTTGGTAGTTCTCTGAAAATTGTAGTTCCCGAACCAGGGAACCTATTGATATTAATTGAACACTCAATTTGATATCATTTGATATTGCTTTTATTGTTTATTATTATACTTTACTACAGCAACCACTTATAAAACAATTAAGATATAACTGTATGTTTTTTATTCCTTCAAGGAGAATATCCCCCTTTTCCCGTGGCAAATATCGCGTTGGCAAAATAACGGTTTGGGAATTTGCGCGTAGGCAAACTAACTGTTTGGGAATATGCGTGTAGACAAAATAACTGTTCAGGGAGTAACCGTGTAACAAAAATAACTGTTTTTGGTGCACATTTGCACGTCAAAATAATAGCAAGCTATAGAGACGTCATTGCTTGTTTATCTCTGGAAAATATTGCGGCCCCTCAACATTTTGCTCATTCTCGGATCTGGACATTGAAAACATTTTGAGACACAAAGACTCAAAAAGCACTATACAAGCTACAAAAAGTGCGTTGATATGCTTGAATTTACAGCCAATTGCTCTTGACACAGCAGTTATAACCATGCCGGTTTGGATCATGCCAATCGCACGTTCCCATAATGCAGGCGTAAGACGGGGTATTTTGAAATGTTTTCTTGTAACTTTGTGAACTTACGACTGGATACAGTAACAGGTGTCGAACAACATCACATTTAGTCGAATTTTTTAACAGATTTTTCTGCACGTGCAAATTTTCCAAAATTCGAATTTGATATGTATCAGCCATAGTTTTCCCTAATTAATTTTGCCTGATTAGTGATACAAAATTAATCCCTTTTGGGATTCTGTGTCTGATGGGATTTTTCTGGTTATTTTAATTATGTCAGATAATCAGAGACTACTACATGTGCATTGGTAGAACTGATCTGATTCCTCCTGTTCTTAAGCAAGTAGGCTTAGAATCAGTTCAAGTTATGAAAATAACTCACCTTTTATGGTACAAAATTTAGTTTTCTAATTGTAGGTCGTACATATATTGGACTGCTGAAATCCTGTCTAGAAATGTATGGACAACAGCAGAGTGAAATGTGTTTTACACCTTCACCTATCCGAGCTGAATGGATACTGACATTTATCTGTATAATACTGGGTATAATGTGTGTCACAACAACCATAATACTACTAATAATATCACACTGGAGATATCGAGTGATGAAACATGCAAGATGGCTTGGATTTGCTGCCAGTAAGTATTCTAGAAGTGTTTCCTAAGTTTTGGATGTGCCCAGCACAATGGCATTTTTTCTGGAAGACCTGCCCTATAGACTGCAACATGTTCATGTGCCTCAAGTCAGGAACCTTGCTGGTGGTTTTCTTAAGATTTAATTTGGAAGTTCTTTAAATTGAGGGAATTTTGGGTAGTTTGCAGATTTTTTTTGTCTCTGTTAAAGGACGCAACCCTCAATCCAAAATGTTCTGCAACCAAAAGGTGACAATGTTTATAATGAATTCCTAGAAACAAACATTTTCTTGATCTGGGATTGCAGTCAAAGTTGATTATACCAAAGACTGTCACAAATTATGAAAAATTGAACTAAAACTGATGTAGCAACACTAATAATGCATATATTAGGGGTCATAAATTAGTAATTTATAATGTGAGGTGCCACACAAATTGTATTAATAGTAATATCATAACTTTATCTATTTGAAATTTGTAGCTTTTTGGCCTAATTAAAAAAAACATAAAAATCTTAGGGCCAATTTTAACCTTTTGTGAACCTACTCCTTTATTTGTATTTTTCTCTTTTATTGAAGATATTGAAATATAAATGTTTTAATTTAATTGTACTGTGACAGTGTTATTGATTTAAGGGTAAACATGAACATACAGCATGTATAGCAGTTTCTTCTGTCATACTGACAAAATTTTTATGCCCTCGCCCTAGCTGAGGGGGCATTAAGTTTTACCCTTGCTGTCTGTACGTATGTCCCAAAATTGGTTTCTGTTCTCTAACTTTAGTTTGCCTCAACTAAATGTTATGAAACTTATACACAATGCTTATTACCACAAAACACAGATCAAGTTTGAATTTTGGTGGCGTCACTTTTACCGTTCTAGAGTTATGCCCCTTTACAAATGGAAAAATTGCTGAATTTTTCGTTTCCATTCTCTCACTTTAGTTTGCCTCAACCAAATGTTATGAAACTTATACGCAATGCTTATTACCACAAAACACAGGTCAAGTTTGAATTTTGGTGGCGTCACTTTTACTGTTTTAGAGTTGTGCCCCTTTACAAATGGAAAAATTGCTGAATTTTTCGTTTCTGTTCTCTAACTTTAGTTTGCCTCAACCAAATGTTATGAAACTTATACACAATGCTAATTACCACAAAACACAGATCAAGTTTGAATTTTGGTGGCATCACTTTTACCATTCTAGAGTTGTGCCCCTTTACAAATGGAAAAATTGCTGCATTTTTCGTTTCCGTTCTCTAACTTTAGTTAGCCTCAACCAAATGTAATTAAACTTATACACAATGCTTATTACCACAAAACACAGATCAAGTTTAAATTTTGGTGGTGTCACTTTTACCGTTCTAGAGTTATGCCCCATTACAAATGGAAAAATTCCTGAAATATTTGTTTCTGTTCTCTAACTTTAGTTTGCCTCAACCAAATGTTATGAAACTTATGCACAATGCTTATTACCACAAAACTCAGATCAAGTACAAATTACGGTAGCGTCACTTTTACAGTTCTTGAGTTATATCACTTTATAACGTTATATGCAAGCGGGGGCATCATCTGTGTCCCATGGACACATTCCCCATTTATTCAGACTTAAATTAACCTTAGCAGGAATGATATTTGAAATGAACTTTGATGCTGATCAAATGAAAAACATGCTGCTAGAGGCAATCTTTTCAAAAATCTTCTCCCAACTACATGGTCAAATTTTTTGAAACTTACCATGATTGATACAAAACAAAGCCTGAAGCTAACTTTGTCAAAAGGTTTAATTCTTCTTATTCTAGTTAAAATTTCTAAAAACTTAAATATAAGTTGATATTACATGTACAAATGTATGCATAGAGACCAGGTGAGTGACTTAGGCCTCTTGTCATTTATACTTTTTGGTAAAAAAATAACAAAAACGGTACCAATTTTGCTGCACCAGATGCGCATTTCGACAATCAATGTCTCTTGATAAAGCTGCACTATTATTCCTTCCATGTGCCTATTATGAATGTATATTTTCAATATAGTAAGACATAAATGTTGTTCCTTACACATGCTTCAAATCTTTTTATTTTCAGTGATTCTATTCTTTAAAGCTCCACTGGTATTCCTTCCATATATAAAAAAGTAGATGTGGTATGATTGCCAATGAGACAACTCTTCACAAGAGACCAAATGACACAGAAATTAACAACTATAGGTCACTGTAAGGCCTTCAACAATGAGCAAAGCCCATTATATATGCTTATTATAAATGTATATTTTCAGTGTAGTAAGGCATTCCTTACATGCTTATCTTTATATTTTCAGTGATTCTGTTCTGTAAAGCTGCAGTGGTATTTCCTATAGGATTTAATATGGATCAGATTGGCGGAGAGCCATATCAGTTGCCTAATAATTACCAAGTTGGAATCTCATATATCTTTTTTGTTCTGGCTTTATGGATAACTGTTGTATCAGAACTTTTTGCCAGTAAAGTCTGCTTACCACATTTCTAGAACTAATGTTTCCAACATCATTGCATGAAAGAAAGAAAAGCAAGCCTATCCTTACATGGTAGAAAAAAATATTAATTGATAAAATTTTCAAGATCTCCTCTTTATAGTGTGTCAATCAGCAGGACTGGAGAACACTTGGAAGAACTCTTGAGCAGTTGAAACTTCAGTAGTAAAAGTTTATAGTTTACCTGTTTAAGAACAGCAATTAATATCAGTACATATTAGCTACATGCTGTTTCCTATATGTGGACAATTCAGATTGTCATGTGTAATACAATGTTTAATTTCTTTGTATATAGATCAAGTAGAATTGTAATATTGGAATGCATTTAATATATGTACATGTATTCACTTGCTATATAGTCAAATTTGCTACTTTAAAAGTTGAAATTTATGAGCAAATAGTTTTGACTTGATGGGAGATGTGCAATATACATCATACAATTATATTTGATTTTGTTGTGTACAACTAGCATTGAAGTAATAAAATTATACATAATAAGTTGTAATTTTATCTGTGTTTGCACATCAACTTCTGAAGTCAACATTAAGGAGGGTACCAGTTCAGTTTGGAAATAAGTGGTGACATAAAAGATATATGATTGCATTATTTTGTATAAACCTTCTCAAGATAAGCTGGACAATTTAAATCAAATGTATGTGACCTTCTCAAGATAACCTTGACAATTGTAATCAAGTGTACAAAACCTTTTCAAGATGGTGGACAACTGAGATAAAATTTATAAAAAATCTTTGATGTTTATTGATTGTTGTACCTCCCTATTTTAAAGATCAGTCTGTACCTATCATTTCATATACCTATACCAAACCAATTGGAACTAAAATTTCAATTACATACACATGTTGCAGGATCTCAATACTGACGACTTCAAGTCTAAACCTCCTGATTGCACCTGTGCTAGTTCCACATTCATATATAAACTGACTGGCCACCTTATTACTTGTGACCTAAACATTGTCAATAACTCTTCTCTGTGAAATGTGTTATTCAAAGGCCCAAAATATTGTGAGACTAAATTCATCAATTGGAAACAAAACATCAAAATACTGATAGATTCAGTCGAGGATTATGTCAGGCAATGGGTCAAACTCGAGAAAGAAGACATAGATACTCTTTCCAAAGGATTAAAGCTGTAAGGTCGTTGATATGAATTAGAATTAAAGAAAAACTGAATGGGTCTATGAATACACATGCTTCATCGATCTTTAAAGACCCAAATGTTGAAAATCACCTATCCTACCTCCATGACAAATATGTTATTGTCCCCGCAGATAAAGCCACTAATAACTTTGTTTTTGTGTGTAAATCACATTACATGAACTGCTTGATAAATGAAGTACGTATTGACAATTTACTTAGAAATTCAACATATACCCACACGAGACTTAACAAGGAGGAAATCCTGAATAATCAGGTCTGTTCTATGTTCCTTTGTAATTTCAACCAAAGATGAAGAACTGAATATTCCTTTACTGTATTGGATACCTAAATTATACAAATCTCCTACAAACAAAGTTATATTGCTGGGTCTTCCTAGTGCTCAACAAACCTCTTTCTAAACTATTAACATCAATTTTATTATCAATGTTATTGTGAAACTACCTATTCTAAAGGCTACGTGAATCAGATGTGGATACTTATAAAATCCAAAGATCTCTTAGAGTACATGCAATCTAAGACTCTTTCATCTTGCAATAGTATTAAAACATTTGACTTTTCTAATTTTTACACAGTTGTTCCCCATTCCAAACTAAAAGACAAATTGAAAGAGTTGGTCCTGCTTTGTTTCATAAAAAGAATGGCCAACGCAGATACAAGAATCATACAAGTATCTTGTCTTAGGGAGAGATAAATCGTACTTTGTAAAAATCACTCTGATTTTAAAAAAAATTTCTCTTAAGCTGACATTATCAAGATGATATCTTGATTGACAACATATTTGTAACGTTTTGGGATTTTGTTTTCAACAAACAATTGGTATTCCCATTGGAGCCAAATGTACTCCGCTTCTTGCATACTTGTACCTTTATTTATATGAGGTTGATTTCCTATAGGAGCTTCTTAGCAACAACGGAAGAAGCAACCATCATCTTTTAACTTCACTTTCCGCTATATAGATGATGTCCTATCACTAAAGAATTCAACGTTTGGTGACTATGTTGAACGCATCTATCCCATCGAGCTTAAAATAAAAAATACAACAGACACGGTTAAGTCTGCCTCATATCTTGACTTGCATCTAGAAATCTAGAAAAGAGATGATTTCGGCTTCCCAATTGTGAACATTCCGGAATACCTGAGATAACCCTGCGGTTTTGGGTTGGGTTTGTATTGCCCAGTCTTGAGTTTACAATGTTGTGTTCTGTATACTGTTATTTGTCTTTTGATTTTTTCCCCATGGAGTTGTCAGTTTATTTTCGACTTATGCGTTTGAATGTATCTTTGGTATCTTTCGCCTCTCTTTTTATATTTTGTTGTTGTCGAAAAAGTGCATTTTCAATGCTCCTTTCTGTAAATCAGTAGGTCTAACTCCAATAAAATATAATATAAACTACACCTTCCATTTGAAGATTCTAATTTCCAATCATATCAAAATCATTATATTGGAAAATGTCTATAAAATAAAGAATTTAAATCTTTTCACTTTCTAAAAATGAATCAAAAATAAATAAAGGATCCTAAGATGAGTTAGAAGGATAGTATAACTATGTTTGAACATAGAAATACTCAAAAGAAGCAACCATTTACTAGTACATTTATAGAGACATCCTTGTTTTATCAACAACAAAATGGTTATCCTTCTAAATTTAATACAGTAGTGATAACATATGACTCATTCTACGTTTCCATTCTCAATTTTATGTATCAAGTATGATTTTATTACCACCAAATCTGAAAATAAGATATTAAATTAAGCACACAAGTCTTCCAAACTTTCAATCAGGGATTGTGATCATTTTCAGAAGAAGTTCACTTATTTATCAGAATTTCGTGAGCTGAAAGGGGTGATATTAAAAAGAAAAAATACTTGCTGAATGTTTTAGTGATATAATAATGAAAACCCTGATCAACGTTCCAATCCTTGTGTTATCAAAATCAAAAGTCGAAACTTTTTATTCGAATTTTGGCTCTCTCTCTCTCTTTCTCTCTCTCTCTCTCTCTCTCTCTCGTTTTAATAGAAGAGAAGCGAACGATACCAAAGGGACATTCAAATTCATAAGTAGAAAAGAAACTGTTACGGTATAAGGAACATATCCGCTATCATCTGTGAAACGGATATTCCATAACGGTCAACCAACTTATGATGGCGTCCGTAAAATTTACGAAAGGGATGATTTCAACTTCACCACTTGGAACTCTTGGTTTAGTAGCTGCCTTGTGAGCAGAAACAGTCTATCAAGGAAATCATGATAGGAAATACAAGCCCTGGAATACCGTATCAACTGGGAGATATATACTTCGTATGCAGGCGCTGTTTCAAAGTTGCTTCATAGAAATGAAAAGTCACAATTGGGAAGCTGAAATCATCTCTTTTGTCGTAAAACTTTGTTTTCAACCGACCTTCATTGTCAATTTCTAGATGTAAGTCAAGATATGAGGCAACTTAACTGTATCTGTTGTATTCATCTCAAGTTCGATGGGATGGATGCGTTCAACATGACCACCTAAAGCGGAAAGTAAAGTTAAAGGATACTGCTTACTTCATTTCTTTCTTCCTAAGAAGTTCCTGGATGAAATTATTCTCACATAAATAAAGGAATGCCGATTGTTTGTTGAAAAACACATCCTCCAAACGTAACAAATATGTTGTCAATCAAGAAATCAAGCATCTTGAAAATGTCAGTTTTAGAGAATTTTGTTTTGAATCAGAGAGATTGTTTTACAAAGTAGTATTTATCCCTCCCCAAGAAGAAATTATTGTAACTACGTTGGCCATTTGTTTTTATGAAACAAAGCAGGAGCAACTCATTCAATTTTTCTTTAAGTTTGGAATGGGGAATACTTGTGTAAAGTGTAGAAAAGTCAAATATTTTAATACTATTGTACGATGAAAGAGTCTTAGATTGAATGTACAATAAAAGATCTTTGAAATTTTTTCATTATCCACATCTGATTCTGTGTCAGCACACAAAGTTGCATTTCGACCAAAATCACCTATCCCAAGTTTAAAGGACTCTCTTGAATGTCTTACAGGAGTTGTTATAAAGATAAAATGAAATATAAAAATGAGATCATAAAAATGTCAGAATAACTTAAAATTTGGCTGGATCACAGCACCGAGGATGATTTGATTTGCATTTGTGACCAAAGCTATAGTAGTAAAAGTGATGAACAAGACAAGATCTACCAATAATTAAGTCACCATTTCCATATAATCATTTGATTTCTTATAGGAGCAATGATGAGTTATTGGCATTGAATAATTATGTATACCCTTTTTACGTGTTGGGCAAAACACAATCTATAGAAGATGAAGAGAAATAGTAATCCGCAAAACATATCAGCAATAAAAGATGATTATACTTTATAGAAGTTATTGCCCTTAAATGATAATTTTTTACCCCATTTTGTGTTCTGGACAAAAAGTTAAGTAGAGAGAACTTAAAAACCGTTGAAAATGCAAAAAGATTCAGATAACCTACATAATACTCTTTAGAGCCTCTTGTTTAAATAAGTGGAATTATGAAAGAGTGATCAATGAAAAGAAAGACTATTTGACTTCAATTCTACAAAAAGTAACTAATACCAATCTCCAATTTAATGTAACACATGTAAATCAAGAATCCATTTCAAAGAACTTGCTAGTATAGATTTGAATAAAAGTACATGAAACCAGATTCATCAGAGATGGCGCAAAACGCTGGCTTAACCGATAACTCATTTGATGAACCAATCTATTGCAACTATAAAAATGCCCATTGAATTAAAGCTAGCTAAAGTGAAACATCGATTAAAAAAGAATAGTTAAAAGGAAATGGGAAACTTTAGACTAGTAAGTATTCTATTTTATAATAAAAAGTTATTAAAAAAAAATTTTGAAACCCACTTGCTTGAACATGAGTTGATATATCGAGTTTAGCTCGGTTTCAGGAGCTCGTACTCTACTGATTCTTGTTTTATCATTCTGTTTGATCACATTTTAAAGACTGTTATTGTAAATTCGTATGGATAGGAGCGTTAAATAAGTGAAAATAAGTTTTTGTTACTAGTATGAAAAAAGTAAATCACAAAGATACTAAACTCCGAGGAAAATTCAAAACGGAAAGTCCCTAATCAAACGGCAAAATCAAAAGCTCATACACATCAAACGAATGGACAACAACTGTCATATTCCTGACTTGGTACAGGCATTTTCTTATGTAGAAAATGATGGATTAAACCTGGTTTTATAGCTAGCTAAACCTCTCACTTGTATGGCAGTCGCATAAAATTCCATTATATTGACAACGATGTGTGAACAAAACAAACAGACATAATAGGT